ATGGGTTGTATTAGTTTGCACCCCCATCAGCAATGGAGGAATGTTCCCCTTACTCCATATCCTCTCGAGCATAGGTTGGCACAAGTATTTTTGATCAAAGCCATCTGACAGGTGTAAGATGGTATCTCAGAATCATTGGTATTTGTATTTTCCTGATGCCTAAGGATGTTGAGCTATTCCTTAATTGTTTGTTTACCATTTGAGGTGTTTTTTTTTGGTTTTACGAGACAGGGTTTCTCTGTATTGTTTTGGAGGCTATCGGACTATTTGAGTTTTTTATATTGAAAATTTTCTGATTAGATCTCACCCCCATTTTATTTTGTATTTTGATGACTAGTTTCTTGAGTTCTTCATATACTTTGAAGATCAATCCTTTGTCAAATGTGGGGCTGGTGAAGATCTTTTCCCATTCTATAGGTTGTCATTTTGTCTTTTTGACCATGTCCTGCATTACAAAAGCTTCTCAGTCAGCAGGTAACATTAACTAATTATTGCTCTCGATATCTGTGACACTGGTGTTATACTCAGGAAGTGGTTTCCTGTATCAATTCATTCAAGGCTACTTACTGTTTTCTCTTCTATGAAGTTAAATGTGACTTTATTTATGTTGAGGTATTTAATCCCTTTGTATTTAAGTTTTTTCATAGGGATAGATATTAAGCTATTTATGTTCTTCAACTTGTCAACATCCCGCTGTGCCAAGACTGTTGTTGAAGAAACATTTTGCCATTGTATAATTTCAGATTATTTCTGTCAAAAATCAGGTGTTCAAAGGTATATGGATTAAAATCAGGGTCTTCAACTATACTCTATTGGTCCTCCTGTCTGATTGTTGTGTCAATACCAAACTGATTTCAGTTATATAGCTACATAGAAGAATTTGAAAATTCAGGGATGATAATGCTTCCAGAATTTGCATTATTGTACAAGATAGTTTTGACTATCTTGAATTTTTTTCTATGTGTAATTGAGCATTGTTCTTCAAGGTCTGTCAAGAATTGTGGTTGAATTTTGATGGGAATTGCAATGAATCTCTAGACTGCTTTTGGTAAGATTGCCGTTTTTACTATGTTGATCCTACCTATTCACGAGCATGAGGAATATTTCCATTTTCTGATATCTTCTTCAGATTTTTCTTCAAAGACTTAACGTTCTGGTCATACAAGGTGTAACTAGTTTGGTTAGAGTTATCCAAAGATATTTTATGTTATTTGTGGTTATTACAATGGGTGACATTTCTCTAATTTCTTTCTCAATCCATTTAATAAGTGTGTATGAGAGGTCTACTGACAGATTTCTGAAGGGGTTTCTTAGATATAGAATTTCTCTGAGAGAATTTTTAGAGTCACTTATATGTACCATCCTTGTATCTCTGGGGTGTAACCTACTTGGTCATGGTGGATGATTTTCTTGATGTGTTCTTGGATATAATTATTGTTTTATTGAATATTTTTGCATCAATCTTCACTAGAGTTTGGTCTGTAATTCTCCTTGGATTTTTCTATGTATGGTTTGGGTATCATGTAACTATAGCCCCATGAGAAGAGTTTGTCATTGTTGCTTCTGTTCTTATTATGTGGAAATATTTGATGAGTGTTGGTACAATCCCTTCCTTGAAATTCTCATAGAATTCTGTTCTGTAATGAACTGAAACTGGCCTTTTTATTTGGTTGGGAGTCTTTTGATGACTGCTTCTACTTCTTTGAGAGCTATTAGTCTATTTAAATTCTGTATCTGTTCTTGATTTAATTTTGGTATGTGGTACCTGTCCAGAAAATTGTCCATTACCTTTAAATATTATAATTTTTTGGAATATTTCCCCATGCTGAGGAAACCCACAGAAAGAGCTGACCTAAAAAACTGAGCTCACAGACCACAGTCTGACAGCTGGGTAATGAGCATAGAATTGAACAAGGCTCCCTGAATGTGGGTGGCAGTTAGGTGGCCTGGACAGTCTATGTGGCCTCTGGCAGTAGAAGCAGTATTTATCTCTGGTGCATGAATGGGCTTTGGGACTATGTACTCCCTATGGAGGGATTCTCTGTCAGCCTGGATACACAGGGGAAGGCCTAAGTCCTGCCCAAAATGATGTGACAGACTTTGATGGACCCCAAGGTTGGCCTCACCCTCTGTGAAGAGTGGATGGTGGGTGGGATTGGGGGTTGGAGGTGTAATGGGAGGGAGATACAAGTGGGATAGGTATATAAATAAATTTGCTTTTTAATTTAAATAATACTTAAATTTAAAAAGCAACACAGGTATATTGTCCTGAATTTCTGTTGTTTGAAAGGTCTAGTAACCCAAAAATGATCCTTTTCTTGTCTCTTAAGGCCAAAGTGAAGATTTCAGCCATTGTGTGCTTCTGTCCGGAAGACCCTATGAAGAACCCACTTCCAGGGACATTCAACATGCTCCCAGGACTCAGATCATGAATGTTAGAAGGCTGAGGTCCATATTTCTTTGCTAGTGTCAGCAAAAAATGATGTGTAGAAGCTTCCTCCAAGACAGGAAGGATCATTAAACACAAGATATAATAGTAGGTGAAGTGTTCCACCTACAGGGAATCTCATTAAGTTCATGAAGTAGGATTACTAAATATTGAGGAAATTCCTGAAATTAGTGCATTTTTTAGACCACTATACAGTGAAGCCCTCTGTGAAAACTCTCAAGACAACATAAGCTGCCTAGAAGAATCTTACTTCAGCTCAAATGAAGTAAAACCAACCAGACTTCCTGGAAGAAATTCAGACAAGCTGAGCTACCTGAAAAGTACAATCTGTACCTTGTTGAGTTGCCGAAGGTTAGGCAATGTGGCAAAGGAGTTCAGCTATCTTGAACTAGTACACATGCTGAGGTAGCCTTTAGTTACACAGACGTCTTTGAGTCATTTCTGTTCTTCCGAGAAACCCCTCTTTTATTCTCCTGTAACCCCAATAAAATTCATTGGTTAAACAAAACAGTTTTTGAATGTAACATAGACGGACCAAAATAATTGGCCATAATTTATGTGTATGCTTAACTATATTATACCTTCTAATTTTTGCATCCAATGTTTTCTCTTTCCTTATTTTCATAAGACATACATCTAATGATATATTTTAATTATTCAATTCATATTTTCAGATTATAATTACTCATCTTCCCCTTCCTCCATTCAGACTTACAATCTTAAAAACGATATCACAACTTTTGTTGATGCTGTCTGGGACAGAGTTATAAAGTTGTCATTTAATGATAGGGCCATGATTTGCTGAGGTACAATAAGATAGTTTTCAGAACTATGGTAATAAAATGTATCACAGGATGGAAAAATGATACTTCCATTTATTCCACTTTTGTGTGCTAATCAGAAAAAAGTGTTCTCCTCGCAGCTATAAGGATCTATGCTCTCCTTTAGCTACCTGAGAGCCAAATGGGCTTGATTTAATTAGGACTCTCACACAGCAAAGTCCTGAGGGACACCAGCACCACACATAATCAACCTGTGATCATCATTTATTTATCTTTCCTATTTAAGTATCCACTGTACCAACATTATTTGCAGGAATATTTTTTTCTGCAAAGAATGAAAATTGCCATACTGAAGTTTGGTGTTCACAGAAAGAACAATTTCTCTTATTGTTTTTGTAAGTCCAAGAAGAACTGTATGTAATTCCTTAGTGATAGTACCCAGGTAACCTGAACAATTTACTGTTTATGATCTGCTGGAACCCTTTGTTTGAGAAATTTTTATTCTGCTAATGTCATATACTGGTTTTAAAACCATTCTGAATAGTAGTCTAGTCTTTGTAGTTTCAAGGAGTATTCTATGAAGCTTAATAATTTTTATAGTGTATTGAACAAATGAAAAGTTATAAAAGTGTATATGAAGCTTTCATAATTTTGGCTTGCTATGATATAGCATGTATTTGCAGAAAAGATTATTTTTGCTGTTGTGTTTATTTGGACAATGATGAGTTCATGGCTGATACTGAGATAGTAATCTTATTTACATTTTATATTATTTTATCATTTTTTATAATACACAACATAGATTACCACATTAAAAACACATTATTATAGTCATTGAATCAAAACAAACACACAGACCCACATACAGAGACACACATATGTATGTAATTTTTTATAAGACTACACGTAAAAAATGTTAATATCCAATAATGGTTAATTTGTATGGTTAATGTGTTTTTAATGTGGTAATCTATTAATTTAATTATGAAATATTTCATTATATATGTGAGAAATGATAATATTTTTATCTGCATTGAAATGTTCAGCTTTTGGTCTTTTATACACATAAAGTTCTAAGGTAGAATTTTAGTCCATGAATCTTCCTTTGAATTTGAGATTATAAAATCAAGGCTTCGTTATCTTTATTTCATTTTTCCAAACAGTATTTTTTCCTATTATGAACACTGAAAGGCAGTAGACCATTCTCATGTCATTAATACATCTCAAAATTGTAATATTTGTGCTTCATAAATAAAGCTGTGTTTTTGAAAATCCCTGTAATAATTAAAGATTAATAATAAATCACAGTGATATATTTTAGGATACAAATATATAGTAATTTTATATTTTGTTACATTAAGAAATAATGGAAAAAAATAAAATAAGGTATGCCTTATTTTGAAATATCAGTTGATCTCTCTCTCTCCCTCTCTCTCTCACACACACACACACACACACACACACACACAAACATATGTCAAATCATTTTATTTGATTTTGTTATCTGGACTCAGAATTTGGAGAATTTTTGGTCAGAGATAATGTTCTACATTGTTAACATCTAGTGCATCAATGAGGAATAAGGGAAAGAATCCAAAAACTTTAATGTAGCCAAAGAACAGAACAAAAAAATAGATGATATTACAGGAAAATGAAAGGGATGGAAAGATGGAGAGTTACTTCTCATGCAGAAATTTTTCGGTAATGAAGTATCCTTGGGAACATAAATTATGTCTTTATGTCTCTTTTACCCCATAAGTCTTTTAAACAACATGGAATTCAATAATCGAACAGATACAACAGAATTCCTACTCTTGGGCCTTTCAGATGATCCAGAAGTACAAGCCATACTTTTTGGACTATTCCTGTTTTTGTACCTGGTCACATTCCTTGGGAACCTACTCATTATCCTGACCATCAGTTCAGATTCCCGCCTCCACACACCCATGTACTTCTTGCTCTCCAACCTATCCTTGGCTGACATCTGTATAAGCTCAAGCACTGTTCCAAAGATGCTATTGAATATCCAAACACGGGATCAGAGGATATCGTACACAGGCTGCCTCACTCAGGCTTTCTTTGTTTTGAATTTTGCTGGATTAGAAAATTGTTTGCTTTCAGCAATGGCCTATGATCGCTATGTGGCTATTTGCCACCCTCTGAGATATACAGTTATCATGAATTCACACTTCTGTACTCTACTAGTTCTACTTTCCCTGATCATTAGTGTTGTGATTGCACTACTGCTCAGTCTGATGGTCTTACAGCTGACTTTCTGCACAAACGTGGAAATCCCTCACTTTTTTTGTGAACTTTCTCAGATCATAAAGCTTGCCTGCTCTGACACATTTATCGATGAGATTTTTATTTATATTGCAACTCTCCTATTTGGTGGTATTCCTTTCTTTGGAATTTTTCTGTCTTACACTAAAATTGTTGCCTCTGTTTTCAAAATCCCATCTGGACAAGGACGGTATAAAGCCTTTTCCACCTGTGGTTCTCACCTCTCAGTTGTTTCTCTGTTTTATGGGACAGGGTTGGGAGTTTACTTTAGCTCTGCAGTTACTGAATCTCCCAGGAAGACAGCAGTGGCTTCAGTAATGTACTCAACAGTCACTCAGATGCTAAACCCCTTTATCTACAGCCTGAGAAACAGGGACATTAAGGAAGCCTGGAGAAAACTCACCACAATGATGGCTTCTGCTTTGTGACATGGTCATTTTTAGGGTCAAGGGATAGCTGGATATTATTCAGGTATGAGATTCAAACATGATTTTGCAACAGAAACTGAAAATATTTCTTTCACTCAATGAACAATTTTTCTCCGTGTCTACAAAATGACAAAAACTGATTGTCAATACATCTACATCGTTATTCATCTGACCTGGTCTATTTGAAAATCTGTTATATTTTAGCTATTTAACAAGTATATCTTCACAGGAATAGCATATACTAGATTATCTTGGTAAATTTATATTCTATTAAAGTTTCAAACCAAAAGAGTTAGAAATAAAAACAGAAGAAAGAATGATCTAATTCAGTTATAGATACTGCAATTTCAATATTGCAATTATTAGTTTATTTTTGAGTCTATGATTTTGCTCCATGTATCAGTCATAATGATAGAATGCGTTTTATTTTATAGCCCGTACAATTTTTTGTGAACTCTCTTCCTCATTACAACTTAAATTTCACTGGGGTCATTGATCATAGACTTGTTATCCTTTGCTTTACACATAATATCCACTTATGAGTGAATACATACTGTGTTTGTCTTTCTGGGTCTGGGTTACCTCACTCAGAATGTTTTTCCTAGTTCCATCCATTTGCCAGAAAATGTCAAGCTGTCTTTGTTCTTTACTATTTACATATTTTAAATGTACCATATTTTTTAAATCAAATCTTTAGTTGAGGGGCATCTATGTTCTAGCCATTACAAAAATGTACAATGAACATAGTCAAGCAAATGTTTTTGTGTAATGATTTTGCATCCTTTGAGTATATACCCAAAGTGGTGTTGCTGTGTCTTAAGGTAGATTGGGTCCCAATTTTCTCAGAAAACACCATGAACAACCCCAGAGAATCTAGGTAAAAAGGAGGCCCTCAGAGGGACACACATGGATGGCCGAAGGAGGGAAAATAGTTTGGTTCTCCTGAGTAAATTGGGATGGGGTAGAAGGGAGGGTATGTGAGATGGAACAAAGAGGGTTCAAGAATAACAAGTTAGGGAAGGGATGAATGGGGAAAGCAATGAAGGTGATGTCTTGGTACAGGGAGCCATTATGATGTTAGGGAGAAACCTGGTGTTAAAGAAATTCTGAGGAATCCACAAGGATGACCCCAACTAAGACACCTCACAATAGGAGAGATGGTGTCAAATTATTCCTTCCTATTTAATAAGATGAACAATTACCTCAATTGTCATCAAAGAACCTGCATCTAGTAACTGATGGAAGCAGATGCAGTGACCCACAGCTAAGCACTGGGCTGAGCTCCTGGAGTTCAGTTGAAGAGAGAGAGATGGGATCATATGAACAAGTAGGGTCAAGAACATGGTAGGGAAAACCACAGAGACAGCTGACCTGAGATAGTGGGAACTCATGGACTGTGGGGAGACATCTAGGAAAACTGCATGGGACAAAACCAGGTTCCCCAAATGTGGGTAGAGTAATGTGATTTTATCTTTTTGGGGGTTCCGTCTTTGAGATCAAGACCTAGAGGAAGTACACCAACTGGCTTTTGGAAACTCATTTCCTAAGGTGGAATACCTTCCTATGCCTTCATATTGGAGGGGGGCTTGGTTCTGTTTCAAATTGTTATGGCAGACTTGTTGATGCCTCGAGGAAGGTATTACCCGCTCTCAGGAGTGGATGAATCTCAGGAAGGAGGGTAGGTGTGTGGCAGGAGAAGAGTAGGGAAGAGTTACTGAAGTTGGTATGTAAAATGAAAAACAAATTGCTTAAATAAAAAAATGACATGTAAAAAAATAAATTTCAAACATAATTGTTTAGCACAATCAATGATAGTTTCAAATTCTTGATTAAGATACAATTGTTGCATTAGGTTCAGCAGGGTTATATACATACTCACACACACACACACACACACATATATATACATATACATATACACATACACAAATATATACATACACATATACATACATTGTGTTTGCATGTTGCATGCCTATATGTGTATACATATATACATATATGTATATATGAATGTATGCAATTTAAAAAGTACATAAGCATCCTGATGTTGATTAAAATTTCTGTAGTGTCTTTTTTGCTGGTTAAAGACTGCTGAGTGTAATTTCTCTTTCATATGTCCAAGAAATATATGGAGTTTATTTAAGGTATACTAATTTTCAGCCTATATATTTCCTGATGTGAATAGTTATATAAACTTTATTCCTATATTCATATCATCAAATAAACATTAGTTTAATTTGATATTGAATACTTTTAAAGAGATTTAATTAATGTACATCTGTTATTACATAAAGAGATATTTTTCTTTGTTAAGCACATAAAATTTTCTCATTTGTTGAAAAAACATATTGATATTTTGTATAATGAGCCTCATATTATATGTATGTAATATATTAGAATTTTGTATATGTACACAATTCAAGAATTTAACTATATATTAGAACTAAATATATTTCAATAATCAAATTTCATCAAGTTTTTTCTATTAATCAAATGCATCAGAATTATTTTCTGTAGAACTTATTTCAAGTATACTATTGTAAGCTGAAGATGCACAAATGTGTTCCTTTTAAGCATATTTTAGTTTACCACTGTTAGTGCTAATCATTCAAACGTTGTAGATACATTTGTCACATCCTATTTCCTTAGATCTAAAGTATTTGTAGAGTTTTACCTTAATTATTAGGTATGTGATAGCATAGTGTATACTAACTACCAAACCAAATTGCATACTCAAAATTATGAAAACTGCATATTAATTTAATTTTGGTAACAGTAATAATGTTAGCAGAAAATGTAAATTAGCATAAAATAATAATACCTGCAAAAAAAGAAATGGATATTGACAATTCATAAGATATGGAAGAAAACTGTTAATAAATGATGAAAATGCATATTATGTATACATAATATACTTTGTGAGTGGCTTTTCCTAGATAGATGTAACACACACATACACACACACACACACACACACACACACACACACACACTTGCAATCACACATCTCCCCATCAATCACAGAGCCAGGCCAAAATTATTACTAAACCAACTTGCTTATCTAATGAGTTTCTACTGTGGTCACTTGCTAGAGAATGGGCTATGAGTTACTTATATGCATAAATGGGTTATATTTGCAGTTAAATATATACTAAGAAATCAACTCCAATACAGGTGAAGATTCTTGAAAGCCACAACCCTAATCTTATTGCATAATTTGCAGGAATCTCCACAGTCCTGAGAATAGGCTGGTCATGATATATTGTCACTGAAGCTGTTTTCTGCTTCAAAACCTGCAAAGATTATTCTGAATATTTAAAATATCATGATTCCCAGATATAGGAAGTTTATTTCTTTCCACAGCCTCAAAAATCTCCCCATATAACATGGAAGAAAATTTCGATGTATAGAAAACTATAGCACAACACAGTAGACTCTCACTTTGAAAATCACATTAGGCCGGGCATTGGTGGTGCATGCCTTTAATTCCAGTACTCGAGAGGCAGAGGCAGGCAGATCTCTGTGAGTTCGAGGCCAGCCTGCTATACAGAGCGATTCCAGGACAGCCTCCAAAAATAATACAGAGAAACTCAGTCTCAGAAAAAAGAAAGAAAATCATATTAGAAAGATGAAGTTTCAGGCCCAACTTCTGCTTGCACACTCTGTGATCTTCTTGTCTGGGGACTGCAGGCATGTCAACTTGCCCCCAGTGGACCAAGCTACTGAGAGTCTGCTGATATTGCTGTTCTAGTCTGATACTGTGTGTGGATATTCTTCAGCATATTTGGATGGTGGTTGTACTTAGGTAGATGTCAGCAAATGAAAGTTTGGAGAGAAACAGGTACATGGGTGTTTGTAGATGGGATTCATATTTGAAAGCAATTGTGGTGATCAAATTTCCCCAAATTGTGACCACATATGACAGGAGGAAGAGGCCAAAGAGGAGGGTCTCCATTGTGTCATCATGGGTTATTCCCATTAGAGAAAATAGGAAATGTGTGGGTTTTTCTAGGTTCCATGTTGCTTATAACCTAATAGAAACACAGAGTGAAATAAAATATAGGGAACCCATGCATCATCATAACTTAGGGACATGTTATAGATACAAGTTTTACTCCTAATTCAGATGCATTCCTTATTTAAGAAATGGAGCAGTATGCAATACCTAAAATTTGATTGAGTTGATTGTGATAATACTATGTTCTGCATTATCAATTTTTTATATTTGATAGAGGAATTTTTGTACCATTTCATGTATGTGGATTACAGAAAACAGAACATATAAGAGTAAAATATCTCCTTTTACAACATGAGTTCACCTGAAGTTTGATCTCTACTTGTCACATTTGATAGCAAGAAACTGTACCTAGAAAGTTACTTTGCAGAGCCAATGTATTTTGATAATTTAGAAAATATTTGCTTAATGAAGATCCTTCTCACTTACACAGTAACCTCCCAAAGAGCAAATATTTTCTCCATCAATTCATTTTTCTTTCACTTCCCATTGTTAGAAAAATTTTAAAGTCTATTTATATTTTAATTTAGAAAAGGACTGCATATTTTCTGTAATATGGAATTTATATATTCCAAAATATAAAAGCACTTCATCCCATTAAGGGCAGCAATAACATGACAGTTACATCATTGAAATTACATAATTTTTCAATCAATGAATATCCTGTTGCAATCCCAATTTTGGGAACATTTGTATAATAATTAACAAACCACACTTCCAATTCTCATTATTTATCAGTTGTGTATAACTAAATTAAGATCAATATTTATCTCTCACAAAATAATCTCTAACTAATAAAGGAAATAGGAGCAACATGAAAACATTAGTTGTAAATGTGTTACTTACCCTCTAGCTGAACATCAATAGTTATAGCATTCTTGATTGTATGTTAATAAATAGCCTATCATCATTGACCATTTTCCCTTATTTTGTGCCTTCTTACTCCACCATATTACTTTTACCACTTATAGCTCTCTTTCTG